TTCTGAATAAGTTAAACATGTTGTTACACTATCTGGTAATTCTCTGTATATCTGACCTTATGTTGGTCATCTGTTTTATTAATTTTATTTAAAATTTCATTCAATAATGTTAACCTAAATTTCGGTGAACCATGTGTCCTCGGATACTTTCAACTTCCGTTTATCCCGTTTCATAGGGTCCGCTTTACCACAAACTGTGACAGCGCAAAATCACATTATTTACAGCAACAATGATTATATTTCTACATTTGTGTTGCACACTTTAATTTAGATATATAGGTTCGTACAGTAAATTTATTTACTTCTGTCCAAAATGGCTTTTTTTTTCATTACAAAGTGGTCACAGTTGCCTGGAACTACCCACAGTGCATTTGATCAGTGTTTATTGAACATTTAAATTTTGTTCGAGTTTTGGAATTGTCTCTTGTTGTTTTTCTCATCCATCTAAGATAGTGAACAAGCCAATAAGTATAAATTTAAAGTTTTTGAAGTTTTATTATTGTGGATTTTGGATCTGACTGGTTGAATCTGTAAACCAAAATATGTGATGGGTGTTTCCTATATGGTGTGTTGATGATGGTGGTAGGTATTATGATATCTTTCCTCATCTGTGTCTTAGCTCCATCTTAAGCCATCTATCAGCGCTTTCTCCTCCTCTGGGCTAGTCATCTATCAGCGCTTTCTCCTCCTCTGGGCTAGTCATCTATCAGCGCTTTCTCCTCCTCTGGGCTAGTCAGCTATCGGCGCTTTCTCCTCCTCTGGGCTAGTCAGCTATCGGCGCCTTCTCTGGGCTAGTCATCTATCAGTGCTCTCTCTGGTGCAGGATTGCTTCAGGTTTCTGAAAAACGGGAGTTGTCATGACTCACTGCATATATTTAATGAATTTAATTTTGAGAGGCGTGAACACAATTGTGAATACAATTTTGAATCAAGAAAGCAAATTTGAGTCATGAATACAAGCATGTGAGTCATGAATATCATTTTGAGTCATGAACACAATCTTGAGTCATGAACAGTTTTGAATCATGAAAACCCTTAAGCCTCAAGTATGAATACTATCAGTCAGTCATTAATGCAATTTTGCATCATGAGTACAATATTAAGAGTCATAAGTACAACTTTGAGAGTCATCAAAACAATTTTGAGTCATGCATGATTTTTGAGATTTTGACATCAATATGAGCCTGACGACTAATATTGAAAAACTTTAATAATTTGAAGTTGTACTGAAATTCAGTTTATCTTTTGTTGCTGTCCTGTGGTTTTCATTATTCTTGGTCACAAACCTCAAAGCAATCTTAAAAAGCGACTGTCAAAACGACCTGTACTCAAACAAGATTTATCGAGCATGCTCTTTCTACCATTATTTCAAAGAGCGCCCTACAACTTTTCACAGAGGTTTGTTCTATCAAGGTTACAACATTCAAGACTTCAATAAAGCTTTCAAAAAGTTTTTTGGTAGATATGTGGAGGACATTTCCAAATTTGACACATCAGTGACAAAAACACCCGATGCAATTCCCTATTTTGACTTGTACCATTCTGTTCCCATGTTTCTTCAGGTGCATAATTGACTTGCCTTTGCATGAGTTTGCGATGGGTGCAACCAGTGGGGCAGGATAAGCTCACCTTTCGCGAACACCTGGTTTGATAGTGATTCATAAACACATGCTTCATGACATAGTCAGAATTGTACTACGGCTGGGACGGGTCCAAATTTACTACCCGGGTACCCATCCCCCTATTACCTGACCCTACCCGGGTATCCTCTGTAGGTCTCAAGAGATAGGTACAAAATGTCCGATTGGAAATAGTTTGACTGTAGCCCTGGCTAAATGTATTTAGATACACATATAAAACAATCTGGTCATACATACACTGAATTGACTGAAGGTTTATCTTCAGAAAGAAATGCGAACATTGGTGACTTGTAGTGTAACCATAGAGTTCTAGATCATTTTTGCCATGAGACAATATATCATGTAACTAACCACAGGTCCGGATAGTCCTGTGGGTACCCGGGTCCTACTCTATACCCACCCAACCCGGGTACCCGAGTTACCCGTCCCAGCCCTAAACCGTACAATAATGTCTGTCTGTTTCATCATGACCGTGGGTTTCACCAAAGAGATGTTCATGTGGCCTGTCGTATGTTTTTTCGTGTCTGAGAAATATGTAGGTTCTAAACCTAGCTCGTAAACATCTAGTCTCCAAGGAACTGAGTTGTGTGTCGGTTCTCTAAAAGTCCAGCTCTAAAAGACACTGTGACTGAAGCACCCTGCATAGAAGCACAGATATACAGTGTCTGACAGTGAGCTTGAGACATCACTATTTAAGACACACTGACTTTACCTGGCATAGCAGCATAGATACAGATCCATCTTGTACAGCAATCTCCATGGCACAGGCCACAGATATTACCCAGAAGGCAGTGTTATCTCACTGTGAAATACGGGGGCGCAGTTAGACTAGTATTCTAAGAGTTGTCTCCCTTTAGTGTGACATGATCGATTCCAGAATCTAAACAGCTAGGATTACTGCTATTCTATCAACCCTGTGTTTCTCTTGTCTACACTTAACGCAGTCATATAACTGTTTCATTATTCACTGCGTTCAAAATCAACATTGATGCCGACAATATCAGTCACATATTACCTCAGCTGCTTAAAATGTTGAATCATGAATCACTAATGCAAGTTGGAGTGGTTCAAATGAAATTTGAAACCCAATAGTAATTGCTAACCCATAAATCCTGGAATAAACATCTGGAATTTTGTTCTGTTTGGAAGGCGTCTATACTTGTTGGAGACACATTTGAAGCAATTTTTTTTAAATATTTTTACTCAAAATGTCACATCTTGATATTTTGTAAGATTCAAAGGAAGAGAGTCTGACCCGGCATTTAATAATGGCATGTGTTTGTTCAAGGAATTTCAGTTTATACACAGTACACTTGGAGAGCAGTTTAGTGACTAAATTGTGCACTTTGAGTTAAAAGCATGAAATTTGGTACACAGGTTCTTCATCCCAGTACAAGTTTTAGTGGCTAAAGAGCCATCCAAAAATTTCCAATATGGCCACCAAATCCAAGATGGCTGCCCAAATTATCCTTATTTTATACTATAACCTGCTGAGTATTCACAGTACCCTATAACCCACTTGCTACTAGGTATGGGTGGAGCATGTCACAGGTTCTTCATCCCAGTACAAGTGCCCAGTACAACATATGCTTTTTGGAGTGCTGACCCATGAAGATCCGGGGTAGAATACTTCTTCAGCAACCCATGCTTGCCGTTAAAGGCGACTAACGGGATCTGGTGGTCAGGCTCGCTGACTTGGTAGAAGCATGTCATCGATCCCAATTGCTTGGATCAATGCTCATGATATCAATCACTGAATTGTTTGGTCCAGACGTGATTATTCACAGACCGCAGTCATATAGCTGGAACATGCCGAGTGTGGCGTAAAACAACAAACAAAAAACAAGCACTTTGCTATAGGGCCATCAAAAAACTTTCAATGTGGCCACCAAATCCAAGATGGCTGCCAAAATGTTCCTTATTTTAGACTATAACCTGCAGTGTATACACAGTACCCTATAACCAGCATGCTACTAGGTATGGGTGGAGCATGTCAAGTAAACACTGTTCACTATTCTCTCATCAAGCAGCGCAATTGGAATGGTTGTGGGCCACAGCGGGTAAAAACAACAAACGTATAAAACACATTGTAGATATTACTTTTTATTTCTTCCATCTTAGCTTTTGTTTGTGAGATGCTGATCAAGCAAGTCATGTATATTTCAGAAATGCATGAGCTGTCATTGAAATCCATCCCTTATTTATTTTATATTAAAATTACATTTTTGATTGACATTGAATTTCTAGTTGTTCATTAACTTAATCATGATTTTTTCACGATATTAATATGTATATTTGTAAAAATATTTTAATTGTTAATTTATCTGATCTGTCATTGAGATTGTATGATGTTTGTAAACAGATGTTATAAAGAGTGCAAAAAGACATGATTATAAGACTTTTTTTTCCTTTCTTTGAAGGAAAATAGTTAATTATCAACAATTTTGTAAGGATAATTTTTGTAAAAGTTTAAGTTGGTGTGAGTTGGACTCATGTTTAGGACATGCTACTCGAAAAAGGCTATGGACTACCTGATTCTTTCATATTACTATGCCATATGACAGATTAACTATAGCAATATGGAAGAATTGGGTTGTTCTTAACTATACTGAACAAAGAAAGTAAGTGATCATAAATATTTTTGTGAATTTTTTTGGAAGTAAAGACTGAGAAAACTATTTCTTAAAAACATCCCAAAAAATATTGATGTCCCCCATCTTTCTTTATTCAGTATATTTTTTTATTTTTTGAGTAGTAAATATATTTATATAACATGTCAGTTATTCAGATCATATTAATATCAGTTGTATTTAGCAGTATCTCGATGTAGACAAAGTGTTCATTAAATTACTAGAAGTGCGATTCTGACAGATTGTGTTGCACCGATGTAGTTGCATGGTCATGTGACATTTGCATGCAGTATTTGTGATGATGATGATGATGATGATAGTCATGAGAGGAATAAGCATTTGTTGGAGCTTGCATGGATGTTTAAACTTGTGTTATCCGTACGACTGATATCAGACTCTTAAGAATTTTCAATTTCCCAAGATGACAGTGGAAGTTCACAGTGACAGGACTCTACCATGTTGTGTAAATGGCTTTTTCAGAAAAATGTTACTTATTAATTATAAAAAATGAGCAGTGTATCTTATAAATATTTTCTCGGGGTTTTAATTAATTTAATTGTAGTGAAGTTTGATTGTGCTATTTGACGATCTAGATTTATTCTTTGATATTGTATTTCAGTTTTCATAAAATTGTAAAATTCAGCTTTGAATATTTTGTAATCAGATCTTACATTTTCATATAGTGTTTTAAATATGTATTGTAAATAATTGTTTTGTTTCCGTTGCCTAGCCGATGGAGGAGGACCGGTTCAAAGAAAACAAGGAAGATAACACTCCTTCCAATGTGAACAATGGGAAGTAGTCACAGGAGACGCCAGAATACCCACCCACTGAAGTGCTACGCTGTGATATACACCTCTCTCCGTCTCTCATGGACAGTGACATCACTTCCTGTTTTGTGACATCACTTCCTGTTTTCAGTGCAGACTTCCCAACTGGAGCCAATCAGTGACAAATACAAACTGTCCCCTGACCTCTACTGAATATTTTGAAGCTTATGCCTTTCCCAAATAAACCTAGTAATAATTAAAGTTAGTATGTTAGAAAATTCTCTTAAATCTGAATTCCTACTCATGTTCAAAGCCAATTGCAGTGTTGTGTTCAAACTCCAATAAATTTGAACCAAGGGCAGGTAATTCTAATTTGCCAACCCAAAATCAAATCTGTTACAATTAACCTTTAAGGTATGTAAGCAACTATTGATATGTTAGGTCAAGAAGGAAAAAAAACTGACTGGTCTCTGCCTAAAATCATCCCTCCTTGAAGAACAGACTAGCTTGATGTATTTACTATGGTCTCCAGGCTTTGAGGGTACAAGGGTTTTACTGTATTTGTCAGATTGCTCGAAGCATCTGGTTGGCGAATCCATCGTCATGAATAAAGATTTTACTGTTCATGATTTTAAAGTAAATATAAATTGAACTTAAATTAGGCTTTACACAGTGTATTGTTAAACAAAGTATTAAACTAGTTCTTGATGCTCATTTCATAACATTTTAGGGGTCAGAAAAATCAGGAATCCAAAAGTAATATAACAAATAATGTGTTGCATTTTTAATTTCAAACAAACATTGGATGATTAAAGTCATAGGAATTCATTTTCCTTATTAGCCTAGAGAGCAGCTGGAATAAATGTGACTAAATTATTATTGCTTGCAATTTACACCTAATCAGGAGCTTGGTAAGATGTACAAGACATATATATATTTTATGTTCATTTAACAAAATTTCTTCATGATTAGCAAAGAAAATGGCTGCAAGGGAGACAACTCCAGATAGATTGTGTTGAATGATGCAAATGAACATACATATGGACTAGTATTTTTTGTAACAACAAAAATTATGTTTTGTTATTACATTATAGTGTTAGCCATTAATTAGAACTGTGGGTAGTGATTTGGAGGGGGGAGGGAGGGGGGGAAGGTGTTCCTTCCCTGGGTTGCAGACCATGTACATAGACTCACCATAACTATCTCATCGCCATGACAATGTGTGTCCGATGTTTACGATTCTACAGCCAGCATACAAGTAGCTTTATAACATGTAACAATTGATCAAGGCCAAGCTTAATCAGATCAATCTTATCAAAATCAGATCTTAGCGTTTGCTACCACTACACAAAGATCTGAGCCTGTTACAGGTCATGTCAGAACAGCCTTTCACGAACTTTAACTTACCAGTCACATGGCTAACAAGTCAATAAAGATCTGATTTTAATGAGATTGAATCAGAACCCACAGAGGCTTCTGCAGTGAATGTATATGTTTCTAGTTCAGGGGAGGTGTGGGGGATTTCATACAGTTAAAGAGTGCCAGGCTGACATTGGATGCACCGTGATAAACCGTATTCGACGTAATGAACGCCCCGCTCTAATAAGCACCCACGGCGATATTTGCTAACATATTAGCTAGTGAACAATACCAATTAGCACCCCTTCCGATTGATCAATGTACACAACACTTATTTATTCGTGTATAATATGCACTCGTGTGTTATATGCACCCTTTACTATGGGCAATTAAATTCTGGAAAAATGTATGTCTCGTATATAAACATTTCAGGCTGTCAGCATAAACCACAAAATTTATCTTTTAGCTCAGTTTTTTCTCTCGTCAAAATAATATTCTAATAAGAGCCCTCTATTTCTAATTTTGAGAGCGCCCTAGGCGCTTGTTACGTCGGATACGGTAGCTGGAATATTGCTGAGTGCGGCGTTAAACAACAAACAAATAAACAAAACATTGAGTGCCCATGTCCAGTATAGCTTTTATAAGTATAGCTGTTGAATTGTGACTTGCTGACTTAACCCATATTGCTAGCAGTTCTTCTTATCTAAAAGATTTTCAAAACAAGGTAAAAACATTACAATTGGAAAGCAGTGTGATGCAATAACCACCAGATTAATTATAGTCATGAAAACATTGGGTGTTCTTAAACTTCTTTTGAGTAGTATATAATTGATTATCAAGGATGAGTTATCATGTACACTCCACTAATAGTGGAAAAAAACAAATTTAGATGAAGACCCCCCCCAAAACTGAATGTTAGGATTGATTTGCGGGCAAAACATTGATAAGGATTGCGATTGTGTGTGATCACATATTTCACATATCAATGCATTTTTAATCTTATTATTTTTGCGCTGTTTTGAACATGTTGATCGAGAAAATATATATCTCAAAGAGGAAATCCATACTGATTTGCTTTTAGCCATACTGCTCAACTTTGGACAGGGTCATTTCTGTTATGAAATGTCCTGTCGAAAGTTGACAGTCCAGTTGGTATCGCAATTCGCTGTGCGGAGTTGTGTCCCTTAGCCATACCAGGAACCTATGGTAGTGGGTTCAGATTATGGTTCTATGTTTTTAGCACCATACCCATGTTTGCTGGTTTCGCCCAAATGGTAAATGGAATTGGTATCACTTCAGACATTCCCCCCACATCAAGCTCATGTGCAGTGCTATAGCTGAAATATGGTTCAAAACAGCGTTAAACTCAGCTCACTCACTCACTATGGAATGCCCATGCCAAATCCTATCTTTGCTCATAACTTATATCTTTACACAAATCATGTTCAAATTTATGCACAGTGATATTGTTCTCCTAACTTGGTCATTTTCACAGTAATCACATCAGTTCCCAGTAATCATAGATCATCAGAGTAATGGAACACTCTCTACCATACATATGATAAGGGATAGGTGGCACTGGTGACCTGTCATCTAATGTGCCGCAGTTCACTGTGCAGAGTTATGTCCCTTGGTCACACCAGAATCCTGTGATCATCCATTCAAATCCCGGTTCGCCCCGATTATGTTTCCAGGTCTGTCAGCACCATACCTGTGGGTTTCACCGAAGCGGTAAACGTCTTAGACCTGCATCACTTCGGGCTTTCCTTCAACATTAAGCTGTCACACCGCGATATAACTGGAATACTGTTCAAAGCAGTGTTAAACCCAACTCACTTGGTCACTCTCTATGATAAGAGATAGGGTAATAGTATGTTGGAAGGATATCCCAAATCATGCTGTTTTATGAAGAGATTTGTTCACAATTCAAAATGTTTTTAGACATTCTTAAATCGTATTGTACATCACGTGATATCTTGTTTTGTTTGTGCTGTGACCGCCATGCTTTATTCACAGGGTATACAAGCCTTCTCTGTCGGTCAAGTGGTCAGTTTCAAATAGTAGCCACTCCAACACTGTGCAACATTGTTTGAGCTTCAACCATAACAGCAAGATTAGTCACAAGTGTTTTTGAGTCATATTCTACAAATTCAACAATTTGGAGCCACTTCTGATATTTAATACCCGATGAAACCATTATGATAACATCACGTTATTGTTGTTATAGTTGAATCTGAGCCAGGAATCCAGTGGCCATTCTGAACGTGCATTGAACAAGTAATTGTGATGCAACTATTGGTCATTTGCAGAATTATAGAAAAACCCATTCGTCACCACTCGACCCTTTCCGTAACCTACAAGAAGACTCGTCCCCCATCGATGAATGTTATGTGCGAAAATATGACAAACCAATCAGAATGCGTGTATGATTTTAAGTTCTTCGTCAAAGAATCTCTCAAAAATAATTTTTGATTTTACATATGTCTTGCATCTTAAAATATACCCAAGACACAGTTAAATGTGTTAAATCATACCGTATAATTCCGCACATCCCAATGTGCTTTAAATTGCATCTGAAATATATATAATACATGGGGAAATAATATGTGAACCATTACGCAACGAGTTGACAATTGTTTTAGGTATGCCTGTTTACGCACCGGTCGCAAAAAAGGCCATGAGAGGGGCACGAGACGCTATTCGGCTTGTCGCAGAATAACACGAGTTGGTCACGAATGACAAAAAACCATATGGTTTAACTCTGTCATGGCTACCCTCTGATCACCATGACACCGGCCAATCAGATGGTAGACGTGAGCAATGTTTTATGGTTCAGTCTGAACTGACCATCCATACCTGCAAAATACATATCATTGTTCGATTCAACAAGTATTATAATTAAACAAGTAGTGAGGTGTCCTGAAATTAAATTGTCCAATTGAATTCAATTGTTATTATTTTAAACTTGGTTACAATACTGTGTTACTTAAACCACGTTGAAAATGGGGAATAACAGTTTGAGTGCCATTATTCAGAATGTTTTTGGTTTGTTTGTGTTGGGTATTACGTTGGCAGCATATGTCTTAAGGACATGTTAATGGATCAAGACTTCCACAAAAAATATCTTGGAGGTATGTGCTAGGATGTAGATTATGAGTGGTTGATCCATACTAAAGTGGTGTGACTATTTTAAGTCTGTCAAGGTACAGAACTTACAGGTGGCCGAGGTACTGCAATTTGGTGTGCAGAGTTATCTCCCTTGGGCATGCCAGGATCCTGTGATCTTGGCTCTAGATCCCAGTTCGCACTGATCATGTGGGTTAAGACCTGCACTTAGCTCCAACAATAACAGACATGCTATGATTTAACTGAAATACTATTCAAAATGGAGTTAAACCAAACTCACGAATGTACTTACAATACTTCCATTTCTACATATTTGTGTTAGATGAGGCCCGAGCCTTTAGTCCGGGATGTTATGGTGATCTGTCCAAAAGGGTATATATTTCAAATATTAAAGCCAGATTTATTTATTTTTACTTTGAAGATCTTCAGGCAGGATGCAAAAAAAAAAAATAACACATTTGTCTGAGTGGATTTGCAGTTAATTTCTGGAACTAAATATTTCTTGATTAATTGTTTTAAAAAATAATTAAATTTCAATCAAACACAGCATTTTAAACATTTTTGTTGTTGGAAATTTAGATTAGGTAAAAGAACAAAAGCAACTAATGTAGAAATTAGATGTGATATTTGTATGAGTAATTAGTGCGGAAATAATACAAATAAAGTTTTTAAAATTTAATTTACTCTTTGTGTAAGTTAGGAATGCAAAAATATGATACATGTCTTACTAATTAATGTGGAAATAATAAACTAAAATATTTGTGAAACTGATTAATGTGGAAAAAATTGAAATCTGTGTGTAAGAGTTTTTCTGAATTAGTTTGTATCTTCAAAGCTTGTAGCAGGGGAACTGTTCAGATGAACTGTTCTGTGTGTGTGTGTGTTATCAGACAGTTGATGTGTATCAGGTCATATGAAGATGATGAAATCAACCATGATGTACAGGGGCTGTGAGAGATGTATGAAAGGAATTAGGAAATCTGTTACCTTCTGTGTGTGAGACATAATGCTGATTGTATTAGTTCAGGTTGATATAGGAAATATGCTTGTTAGCTTCTTGTTTGTGGCTAACCTGTTGGCCTAAATATATTGATTACTTGTTATGAATAATCTACTTATAGAAAAAATGAATAAAAAAACTCTTTGGTGATTAAAGCTCAATTAAATCACCATACATGTATATCGACTAACAAAAATATCTGTTCCAAGGTTCTAAAATAACAAACTCTACGATTAATCCATAATATGTATTCGTGCATAATGTGCACTCGTGCATGTGTATTCATGCATAATGTGTTGCACATCAGATGCATACATCGACTGACATCAATTTTAAGTTTCTGTCTAAATTTTATGATTATATGTTGGTCATTACAAGTTTACAAAAAATGTCCAACTCAAAATTTGACCAAAAATATTTGAAGAACCAAATTATCGATGAGTTGGCGCCTAGTATAAAGTATCAGATTAGATTACAAGTTTACAAGAAATGTCCACCTCAAAATTTGACCAAAAATATTTGAAGAACCTAATAACCGATCAGTTGGCACCAAGTATAAAGTATCAGATTAGATTACAAGTATACAAAAAATGTCCAACTCAAAATTTGACCTAAAATATTTGAAGAACCAAATTACCGATCAGTTGGTGCCAAGTATAAAGTATCAGATTAGATTACAAGTTTACAAAAATGTCCAGCTCAAAACTTGATAAAAAATAGTTGAAGAACCAAATTACCGATGAGTTGGTGCCAAGTATAAAATCCTTACTTCTTCCTGTGTATGGCTGAATATTGGATATAGGTGGTATACGTGGCATATATACTCCCCAAAAGAAGTTAAAGAACACCGGATGGCCATAACTGATTTACTCTAGTCATGGGAACAGTTCAGGTGTTCAACTTCAGTTGAGGATAAGTGAAGACGAGACATCCGAAGTTTGTGTCAAGTTTGAAATGGGCCCAAGGTAACCAAGGTCACCGTCTGCCGATCAAATGTGTATCACATAGATATATTTTACTAATGAAGTAATTGTGTTTTGTTGATGTATATAAATGTGGTCACTAAGCTTGTTACACTTCACTGTAGTGTTCGACTAATCTATCGCCACCTGTCACCCGAACAACGTGACTGACCAATCAGAGAGCCGCATAGAATCTGCCATTTTGTAAGACCAATTTGAACCTGACAGACATTTATCAAAGTGATAGA